GATGACGACGTGGCCTCGGAAGGGTTGAGGGGGAATGAGGATCCTCAGCGTACAACGAATTCGAATTCGAGGCAAACGTCTCCTGGATTACTGCAAGTGTCCACCAGAGCACCAGCAGCTGCCACAGTCCACGGGAGCAGAGAAGATGCAATTTGAATCGACAAATATTGACGTTGAGTGCCCAATGGTGGTTTGTGTAGAGGCGAGAAGAAGAAAATTGCTTGTGCAGGTGGACGTTGAAAGCCTTCTTAAGTGCGGCGCGTGTTTTGCACAGCACGCGTTACGCACCTGCTAGCGCGACAACAAGAAACGGCATGTGCTAGGTCAAAGTGGCCAGTGCCCGGTACATCCGTGTAATCCATTAAACACGGGCCCCACACACCGGTCGTCAGCTCCAGCGTGAGTGATCAGGGCCTCGATGGCGGTAACAAAGCACTGTCACAATGTCGCTGAGTTCAAGGGCGGGTTCCTGTGCCTGGTTCGCCTGTATATGTGGCGGACCCAAGAGTCAATGGACAATTTAATTTCGGCGCATTCTCGAATTCCACTTGCAGCTTCGGACCTGCGGCTCTTCGGCTCGGAAGTTGAAATCGTGAACCTGTTTTGCGTCTGGTCCTTATCCACTTTCGCGGGGCATCATGCAGGAGCGCGCACCCCTGTTACCTATCATACGTTCCAACATCTGGCGCGAAATCACGTGAGACAGACCTCATTATTAATGGGTTTTTCAGCTATTTCTCAGCCACCAAGCCCGGCTCAACTGGGATCACCTGACTGGGCACATGCTGACGAGCATGGTCAGAATGGGATGAGCCGCCAGGCACGACTTGGGTGTCGCTGAGAAGTGGCAGATTGTTGCGCCTGCAAGCCGTGCTGCAGATCCAATAAGAGTTGTTCATAAGAAAATTGCCCGTGACTCCTTGTATGACTCAATCAATGAACCAAGGAAAGAAACCAGGGGCATAACACCCTTCCCAATGATTTTGAGACGACTTCGAAATAACATTTCCCTTCCAAAAAGCACATTACGCCGTGCAACAATGGCTGCTCAGGCGGGGGAGACCCCGAACGGCACCTACAAGCCAAGATATGTTGATGTAGGTCACCGCAACACCATAACAAAGATTCTAGCCCCTGGCTGTAGATATATCATACCCTAACCACCTCTCACCAAGTAGATTGGAATCAACTTATCCGACCCCATCTTCAGAGGCAGATATCATGGCCTCCAAAAACACCCCGATGACCTCACGGGAGTCATCGACCGAGCTCGACAGGTAGGATGTACCAAGCTCATGGTTACGGGATCAGACATCAAGAGTTCCCAAGACGCATTGAACCTAGCAGAGGAATACCGTATGCATTCTTCAGTCCGCCCCCCTCTTCCCCTCTGAATCTGATAAACACATCGTGCTAACGGCGAGAAACCAGCCGGGACCTGCTACGCAACAGTGGGCATCCACCCATGCAGCAGCGCCATCTTTGGCGCGGCGGACCTCAAAAAGAAGCAGAGCGAGCACACGACTCCTTGTGAAGGCGACCCCTACGCTCCCATGTCAGAAGAGCACCATCCTGACGCCGCAAGATCGGCCCATGCCATCTCACTGCTCACCACGGTCGTGACGCAAGCAAGGTCATCCGGCCAACCGCACATCGTGGCCATGGGCGAATTCGGCCTCGACTATGACCGGCTAAATTACTGCAATAGAGCAATCCAGAAGCACTCGTTTGAAGCGCAGCTCCGTGTCGCAGCCTCGCTGCAGCCGCAGTTACCCTTGTTCCTGCACTCCAGAGCTGCCCACGGCGACTTTGTCGCCATTTTGAAAGGCGTGTTTGGCGAGAGATTAGAAGGCCTAGACAAGGGTGGCGTCGTGCACAGCTTTACGGGCACCATGGAGGAGATGAAGGAGCTGATGGACCTGGGACTGTACATTGGCATCAACGGGTGCAGTTTCAAGACGGAGGAGAACTGCCAAGTCGTCAAGGCTGTCCGTCTTGACAGGCTCATGATTGAGACGGACGGGCCGTGGTGTGAAGTCCGCCCTAGCCACGAAGGATACAAGTACCTCATAGAGAGGAAGGCCGCGCAAGCACCCGTGCAGAACGGAACGGCCGCGCCCCAAGCTACTGCTCCTGAGCCGGAGGCAAAACAGCCCAAGAAACAAAAGAATCAGAAGAAGCAACCCGAAGTACCAGACCGGTTCAAGATCGTGAAGAAGGAGAAGTGGGAAGAAGGCGCCATGGTCAAGGGCAGAAACGAACCGTGCACCATTGAGCGCGTTGCCCAGATTATTGCTGCCATCAAGGACGTGAGCGTTGAAGAGGTTTGCGAAGCTGCCTGGAAGAACACCATCCACGTATTCGGACTCGAGGAAACGACATAGACAAATGAGGCACACATGTGTATATATATATATTTATATATATTGGCCACAGTTGCATTCACATAGAGGGGGTATCAACGATAGAAATATAAAATACACCATATACCCAAGAAAGCAATTCAAACTCCGCCCATTGCATCATAATCCCGAACCCTTGTGGCCCCGTATCAAACCATTCTTCACAACGCCAGTGGTCACGCCATCCTCACCCGTCATCCATCCTGGCATTCGCTCGCCGTCCACGATTCCAGCTTCAACTAATTGCCGTATTCCTGCAAAGACATGTGGGCCCTGAAAGTTGATGCGTACAATCGGTGTCCACCGCGTCGGGTCGATTTCATCCTCCTCCTCCTCTTCACCATCACCCAAGGCCTGCCGTAGCGCGGCATCAATCTTGCTCCTCCGTCTATCCGTCTGCCGATTCCGCCTGTCATCCTCGTCCTCAGAGTCCTGTACAAAAAGCCCGTCTATCGCGGGATACGGGTCCTGCATAATGATTTCAAACCGCTCAATGCCCTTGCCATCAGACACGATGCCCGAGTTGCCGAAGCGCGCCTTAGCCACCGTCCTGGCTCGCTTTGCCGCACGCTCATGCTGTGACAATGGCCTTGAGCGCTTCTGAGCCGTCTCTGCGTTCGAAGACGACTCCCTCGACAGTGGCGGTGTGGGGAGGAGCGTGTCCAGCGGCGATTTCTTGTCCTTTTCGTTTGCGTAGATGCTCCATCCACCCCCTGCGGCATTGCTCCGGCCCGGGCCCCTCTTGTCCAGGAGCGCTTCCAGATTTCTGCTCACGAGACTCGTGGGCTTGAGGGTGTATCGCTCCCGAGGACGCGAAAGCGCCTGCGGAACCCCGTTTGCAATGAGGCCGTGTAAGCTTTTCGATTCCCCGTGGCTAATTGGCCCGGTGGCCTGGGCTCTGGTTATGTACAATGCCGGTGAGCCGTCCGGGAAGGCTAGGTATATGGTACGGGAAGAATTGAAGTTGGTAGAATTCCCGCCGCTGCTGAGACCTGAAAGGGCTAAGTCTGTATTGTACGGTGATTCAATGGCAAATATGCGCAGCAGCAGTAGAGGAAACTTTTTAGGTCGTGAGAAGTGATAGTGTGCCTTGATGTCGGGCAGCACCTGCTCCTGCAGGCTCTGTAGGAACGTCGACGGATGGAACCTCGGCAGGTTGAGACTCTTCTCGTCTGCCTTCAGAATCTCATCATCAGCATCTTTGGTTGGTAGATTCAAAGGCTGGATCTTGTATGCCGTCCATTTCTGAGACGTAGGATGCTCGTCGAGGTACGCAAAGTCGATCATGGCAAGTTGGTAGAGCGTCAGCCCATGGCGCCAGTCACCTTCTAATATGCGACTGACAACATCGCGCCTGGAGCCCCTCTGCTGCTGCAGATCTGTGTAGAGGTCGTGCAGCTCCTCGATGGACTTGCACGGCGGGTAGAGGTCCGCCGAGTCCTCTGGTGTATCGTCATCGTCGGCTCTGGGGGGCGATAGATACGGTGCGGTGTACGCTAGGGACGGGCCATCGAGCCAATCGAGGGCGAGGAGGATGAGGGCCTCTCGCGACAGTCGACTGATGGCCTTGATGACGGCTGTGTTGGTGGATTCGACGCGCAGAGATGATGGGAGGCGGGATTTGGTTGCTATGGAGAGGCGGGACATGGCAGCATTGAGGGCTTGGGGGCTCGGGGGCTCGGGGGCTCGGGGGCTAGCATTAGCGGGAAACACGCCGAGTTGGAGAAGGTTATCGATAGCCAAGTCATGAAAGAGGCATTGCAATGTTATATAGTCGGGAATTGTACCGCGAGGAGAGTTGGCGCAAAGTGTGAAGAGGTCGAGGTGCAGCGGTGGCCCCACCAAACAAAGCGGCACGCGATGTCGTTGCAACGAAACGAACGGCCGCCCATGGCAGACGACGACGGACCTGGACGCGTCTTAACTTCTCTATGCGTCAACCCCATGTGGGCACAACACCCAGCCACGGCTAAATCTTCCACTCATCAAACTCATCAACTCGCGTACCAAAATGGGTCACGTCGAATGAGGATGGGCTTGAAGGTGCATTCTGGTTTTGGAATTTCTGCATGGTTGCTACGGTTTTATCGGCACGGCTCAAGGGCGATACTTCTGACGCCTTGACAAGTATGCATGGCGTATTCGAGCCAAAATAGTTCTCGCTACAGGTCAAGTATACGTACCCGAGCACATTGCAGACAAGATTATGATTTTTTTTTTTAATGTTTGGAACCTAAGATTCACTGCCTCCCACTTTATATTTTCCCGGAGCATCGCAAAACACAACAGCTGTTAGGGAAGGCAGGCAATTCTCGAGCCTCTGTGCGGGTGGACCATTTGTCTGGCAACTTGCACTTCACAACTGGCCAGCTCACTCTTACTTCACCAGATATAATGAGCACCGGCTCTTACATATTACCCAGTATCCTCTAGGATTATTCAAAACTCTAATTTCTGACTTCTTTTCTCCAGCATCTGCTCATCGCACCTGTTTGTGGATGTGTGATTTCATCTTGCAGCACCGCTATTACAACAGATCACAGCTCTCCAAGCACCACACGTTGCTCCAACTCTTTGTTCCTCAGCCCAGGAACCGCCATGGCTCGCAATCGCTACGCAGTCAGACGTCCAAAGAGCACCCGAAAGAGCACCCGCAACATTTCCTCTAGCATCAAAAAATGCAACGTAGACGCCCCCGAAATCGAAGGCTCAGGCCGAAGCACGCCTGTAATTACAGGAACCGGATGCGAGGCTACAACAGATTCGGGCAAATATCACTCCAAGATCAACGCCGCCAGTTCGCACGCCCGCAGGGTTACTCGCACACGAGCCACTCGATTCAGAGGCCCAACAAGTATCCACGAAATTCTTGCCTTGGGGCTACAACATGCGTTCAAGAAAGAACGAGAATATCTTGACTACACCAAGAGAGTGGCCAGTGTGTCTTGCCAACCAAATCAAGGTGAAAACTTGACTCACGTAGCTGGTTTACAGCGGTTTTGTGGCAGAGTGTTTGGTATTGGCGGCGACACTGACGATTGTGAGCGAACCAACGGTGAGGAGATGGACAACGGGTCCTTGTCAACAGATGAAGCAGAGCAGTCATTTGGGGGACTAGGTGATGTGCTCGATGCGCGTTTCGCGTTGCGAATACCTCATGTGTACGATTTCAAGAGGTGAGCACAGAGACAGCAAGCAGCTAACTGGCAACCATAGGCAATCATCTTCGAATCGACTCCAAGCTGCACTGCAGCTGAAGGACTCCTTTTGGCGACCAAATGCAACGTCGGCGCGGCAGAATACCAGTCCTACAAGAGTTGCGCCGGAGTCCTTCAGAGGACCGAAAAAACTATGGCATCCAACCTCCCACGTCAGTTGTCGACAGTGGCTGCAAAATTCGTCGTCAAAATACGGGTGCAAGCGCCTAAGCGCCCGGGCCATCACCTTCAAGACAAGCAAGTCTTCCTTCCCTGGTGATAATCGGGCTTATCTGGAGAATGAGCTGGATACAATCATGACAATTGACGATGATTGGGGTGCGATTGGAATCTTTGAAACTGACATGTAAGTCTGAATCTCCGTGCAGCTTTCCGACAAGAACGATTATTGACTTATCTTTTAGCCCGCACATATCAGGCGTGATCCAATCCTGGACCTGGATCAAAATCACGAAGCCAGTCTTCGTGGTCGATGACCCCGAAGAGCCACATGTCGGACCGCAATCGTGGGTAGTATTCGCCATACCTAGTCGACAGGTTGAGAAGTTGGGGGAAGTCTAGGTTACTTCACCCCCAGAGCTGACCGATTCGTCTGGCGAGTTGTCCGACTCGGAGCTGCCGAGCTTGCGTCTGGTGCTACGATATAGCAAAGGCGGTATCCCCAGCTTTGAGTGCTCGAAAAAGAATCCAGAGGTAGTCTACCCCAACTCCGGGCATGGATTTCTTACAATGGGAACGCTCCCATCGTATGATTACTACGATGACGCAGGAACTGGCTGTTTCATCACACCCGAATTCGAAAAGCAGTGCCTACGAGATAACTTGAAGTGGAAGGAGGTGCAAGCCGCCATGGCCAGATCGGCTTGTATTGTGGAAATTGAATCTCGGCCCGGGGAGAGATGGGAGAAAGTTGCTCCATTGGCCACAACGTCTCTCGATTGAGGGAATGGTAAACACTCCTTCGAGTCTCGGGGCTCAAGGATGGTGCAGTTGAGCAGGGGTATTCTAACAGATGCACCACCCATCCCGGCGTTGGGAATCCGACGACCAAGAGAGCTTCGACAGTGAGGAGTAACCAAAAGATGAACTACCCATGGAGCTACAATCCCGAAAATCAATCATTTTGTGTGCCGCTGGAGGATTTGGTTACGGCGATGCCCAAGGCAGAGGGGCAGAGCCATGTATATTCTATTCGCGCCTCGGTGAGGAGTCATAAACTCCAGTTGAGTCGAATCTATTCACTGTTTGGGCTTATGGGGAACTGAAGGCTTTTTGTTCTACGGTTCCGTTGACAGGGTAATAAGGGGTATTCACGACAGTTTTGAAGGTGCATGTTTCTGGGTGGAGGATTTCGACTCTTCATGAACAAGGCAGAAATGCGGCTATGCGCAAAATGACGGCAATGCCGAAGATGGGCGGTTACTGAGATCAATCAATGCTCCAGCAATGGTATTTTGAGACACAGGAATCTCGTATGGATGACCAACAGGCTGAGAAGGTCCTACGGCAGCTAACAGTATCTCCGATGAGAGCGGGGGAAGTCAGGGAATGGATTTGGCTAGTGTATAGTGGTGCAATAAGCAAAACATCGCAGACAACATATGCAACATATGCATGACAAAACCCGGTGTGCATGGTAAGCTGAGCAGGCAACCTCTTCGGGGAGATTGTGACTCTGAAGGCTGCGGATATTCGGGTACCGATGTCCGAGCACGTTGGCCGCAATACCAACCAAGGCAGGTAGATCAAAGCAATTTTACACGGCGTGATTGTGCAACCCAGATATTAACTACGGGGTAACTACAAGACTAAAGTTCCACTTTGTTCATCCAAAACAGCAGACATGCCAACATAGCCAGGGTAAATAAGTCCAGGGCTCAAGGCTGCTGGTGTCAAAGGGTAAAGGTGTTCCGCCAGTCTCGGGAAACGTAGTAAGAGTGCGACAGTCGTGGCGTCTCAAACTCCGAATGGAGCACGCTAGAACCGTAAGAAATCCGCTGTTGGTTGGGGTAAAACATGGGGGGTCGAATAATCAAGCTGATCACGCGGGCACCAGACATTACTTGAGGTGGCTCGTCCACTTAGTCGCTGAGTGGTATGACAATCCGCATCTCCATTTGCATCCATCCGTGCCCATAATGCCAATTCAAACGCGGTGACCTAGACCGAGCCTTTTCTCGGAAGAACAGTTCTGAAGGTTTGTTGAGCTCTGCTTGGCCGTGATTGGCTCGAGATGGGAGCGTCTCAGCGGAGAAGTGAAGGGCCGAGAATGTTGACATGAACGTTGACATTCTAGTGCACTTGCCACTGTAGCTTCCGCTGTCTCGAGGAGCGCTGAGCCGGTGCTGTGGAGGTCGGGTCAGCAAGGTGACTAGCCAATCAGCAACGGCTATTGGTCGACGCCAGTGCTTGTCCACCACCTTCCAAGGGCTGCTTTCCGCTCAAGGACGTGCTCCCCGCCAAGAATATCCCTGTGGTTGGTGCACAACTATCGTGGGAGCATTTTCTGTCTGCGGCGCTTGGCCCCTCCCCATCCGCCATTTGCTTCTGCCTTTTGCTTCTACCCACACCCAGGCTTCTCTCCGGCAACTCTCTGCTTCCTCCTTGAGCTGCTCGGTTTTGGTGCAACTTTCGACTTCTCATCTTTACCCCATCGCTCGAGTCCAAACGTTGCCCATCATGCAAGCTCCGGTGTTGGTTATGAGTGAGTTGGCTGTCCTATTTTTTCTTTGCAACCATCCTCCCCGGTGCCTGGTGTTGCGCCGGCCTTTCGAGTCCCCAAAGCTGTATCATTTCGACATTGCCATGCTGACTTTTAATATCTGCAGACACCAACAGCGGTGAGAGACAGACGGGAAGAAAAGCTCAACTGTCCAACATTGCTGCTGCGAAGACGTATGTTGCCTCACCACCCTGCCACCTCCCTGCCTCGACATCCAAGCACCGGCCGCTAAACAGCCTTGTGCGTCTTCTCACAGTGTTGCCGATATCATTCGATCATGTCTCGGCCCCAAGGCCATGCTCAAGATGCTCCTCGACCCTATGGGCGGTATAGTCTTAACCAATGACGGACATGCTATCCTGCGAGAGATCGAGGTGTCGCACCCCGCGGCTAAGAGCATGATTGAGCTCAGCCGGACACAAGACGAGGAAGTTGGCGATGGCACCACAACCGTCATCATTCTAGGTAAGAAGTAGAATCAGCATATCACCGTTGCAGCCCATGCTTCCACGCCCAATCCATACGCCGCGCCTAACGCTGTAGCAGCTGGTGAAATCTTGGCCCAAGCTCTGCCCCAACTCGAACGCAACATACATCCCGTCGTTATCATTTCCGCCTTCAAACGCGCCCTCGAGGATGCCATCAAGATCATTGACGAAATCTCACTACCGATCGACATTGACGACGACAAGGCCATGAACCAGCTCATCTCGTCTTCTATCGGCACAAAATTCGTCTCCCGATGGATGGACCAGATGTGCGAACTTGCCCTCAAGGCCGTGCGAATCGTCACTTGGGAGACTGGCAATGGAAAGACCGAAGTTGACATCAAGCGCTATGCTCGTATCGAAAAGGTCCCCGGCGGCGAGATTGAGGACAGCAGAGTCCTGGACGGCCTGATGCTGAACAAGGACATCACACACCCCAAGATGCGCCGACTCATCGAGAACCCCCGCATCGTCCTGCTTGACTGCCCTCTGGAGTACAAGAAGGGAGAGTCTCAGACCAACATTGAAATCACAAAGGAGGAAGACTGGAACCGAATCCTGCAGATTGAGGAGGAGCAGGTCAAGGCCATGTGCGAAGCCATCATTGCCGTCAAGCCCGACCTTGTCATTACCGAGAAGGGCGTATCAGGTGGGTTTTTTTTTTTTTTTTTTTTTTTTTTTTTTTTTTTTTTTTTTTTTTTTTTTTTTTTTTTTTTTTTTTTTTTTTTTTTTTTGCTGCGTTCAATGACTTGTCTATGGAGATGTGTTGTTGTATTGCTAACGTGACGCACCGTAGACCTCGCCCAGCATTACTTCATGAAGGCCAACATTACCGCCCTCCGACGAGTTCGCAAGACCGACAACAACAGAATAGCCCGTGCCACCGGCGCCACCATTGTCAACAGAGTGGACGACCTCCAGGACTCGGATGTCGGTACGCGATGCGGCCTGTTCGAGATTGAAAAGATTGGCGACGAGTACTTTACTTTCCTTACCAAGTGCCGGGACCCCAAGGCCTGCACCATCCTCCTACGCGGTCCGTCAAAGGACGTCCTTAACGAGATTGAGCGCAATCTGCAAGATGCCATGGGCGTTGCCCGCAACGTCATGTTCCACCCTCGCCTGTCCCCTGGCGGCGGTGCCACCGAAATGGCTGTTTCCGTTAGACTGGCACAGCTCGCCAAGGGCATCGAGGGTGTCCAGCAGTGGCCATACAAGGCTGTTGCTGATGCTCTCGAGGTGATTCCCCGCACTCTGGTCCAGAACGCCGGTAAAAGCCCAGTGCGTGTCTTGACCGACCTGCGCGCCAAGCAGGCCGAGGGAAAGAGCTCGTGGGGTGTCAACGGCGACACGGGTACCATTGTGGACATGAAAGAGTACGGCGTATGGGAGCCCGAGGCTATTAAGCTGCAGAGTCTGAAGACGGCTATTGAGGTAAGTCACCTGTAAGGTGGGAGCCGCGGGAGGATTCATCACAGCTAACTGTTGGCAGGCCGCATGCTTGTTGCTCAGAGTAGACGATATTTGCAGCGCCAAGAAGGCACAAATGGGCGGCGCTCCTGGTGTTGGTGGAGGTGACGACTAAGCCAGACATTGGAGGGCGAGCGATGAGACAAGGGGGTTGGATGATTTTATCAACAAGTGGAATGGATACAACAGTAGGGAAAGGAAGGGAGCAAAGCATGCATGTTTTGCAACAAGAATACCCCTGTACCACTCGCTGCCAGAGGAGCAAGTGCGGGTTTTGGAGGGTTAATTCGCCATGGACTACAAAAATTTAGGGTGTACGGGTAGCTTGAGAGGAGACAACTCCCTCAGCTGGGTAGACGGTTTTTTTTTGTTAAAAAAAAAAAGGCAAAAAAAGATTACGAAGAAGATGTGTGCAATGTGTGATGCAGTGTTATACTTGCAAGTAAAATGTTTCAAGTTCATCATCAAACGACTTGATGTGGTTTGGTATGCATCGCGTATGTATACACGGGTATCAAAATCAAGGCTATGCGATATGTACTGTGAAATACTAAATGTAGTCAGTCATCATCATGAATGACGAGACCAACAGGCGCTGAAGAAGCCGCTCCTCGGGCCGTTTTATCTTCTTCACCACTCTCCTCTGGCACGCCTGGATCCCCTCCGTGCCTACTCGGGCCTTGTGCGGCGCCCTCGGCACCCTCACCGCCGCCAGCGCCGGTGCCTCCCGTCTTCTTTCCCTTGTTCGCCTTCCTCGCCTTGATCTTCTCCCTCCGCTCCCTATTCTTCCTGGTCCTCTCCTCATCTCGCTGGAGTCTCTCGGCGCGGCTCTTTTGAAAGTCATCCTGCTCCTTCTCCCGCTTCAGTGTCTCATCCATCTCCCTCAGGCGCTGGTATTCGCGGCGCCGAGAGGCCTTGTACACGTGGAACTCGCCGGATCCTGCGCCCGCAGAGGACCCCTGGACGTTGGTGTAGATCTCGGGGATGTGCGGGGCCCTCTTGACCGCGGTGGACGACGGGAGGGGGATGTTTTGGTCGGGCTTGGCGAAGAGGGCTGTCAGCGAGGCGGCCTGGGAGGATGTGGGCGACAGGACGCGCTTCTTGGTGGCGCGGCGGGAGCGCGGGTCTGCCGATGTTGGGATTGACTCGGGGCCTGGGGCGGACATTTTGGAGGGCTGTGTGTTTTGTTTTGGGGGGGCGTCCGGGGTTGTGAGGGTGTGATTTGACGTAGATCGTTTTGTTTGCGTCGACTTGGGGCGGATGCTTGATTCGTTTTCCCGAGAGGGCGATGTTTTTCCCGGTGTTGTGATTTTTTGCTGGTGATGGACGGGACGGAGAGTAGGAGGCGTCGAAAGGGGTCAGTCGATGCGACGCGCGGGTTCGTATGCCCCCCCTTTTGTTGGATATGGCCGTTTCTTGTGTTTGATGCGACGCGGTGCGATGCAGCGCGATGCAATACGGTGTGACGCGATGGCAGACGGCTGTGGTGACGGCTGGTGAGAAGCGGAAGTGATTGGAAAAAGAGTGTGTCCAAGACGGGAGGTAAACCAGCGAAGGGGGGGGGGGGGGGCAGACACGCGAGTAGGGCAGGGGGA